CTATATATACTTAAAGGTATAGAGATAATTGAATTAAGAAGAATCATATGGGAAAAAATATTTAATGATAACGAATCAGAAGATATATTAAATGAACAATGGTATGAAATAGACCTACATAATTTAGACCTCGAAAGAATAGAATGATATGATTTAGAAATAAATTCAGATTAAAATGAACTACGAATATTCACAATATTGGACAGAAGCTATGGAAAATATAATACTATTAGAACAATTAATGGAAAATAATTTATATATGTACCAAAAAACCCAAGATATGTTATATCTAGAATATATCATGAATAATATCAAAGAAATATCAACATTAAGACATTTAACAAAAGAACTACTCAAACGCGGTAATGAAATTGTTGACTTAATTCACATTCTATCATTTTGATGATTTCACAGCGCGAAAAGCACTGACCTCTGTTCATGGACAATAACAATAACCATGTTTATGCCTAATTATTGCATCATATATATATATATATACTAGATTTTCGACACCTGCTTTGCACGTGATTATCAATTCAGAAAATTTAAGCGAAGATTTGAATAATAAGTTTGCACAAAATAATATTGCAGATTCTTTTGTGAATGTTCAATGTGGATCGTCATATATATATATATATATATATATCTTATTCACACGAACCTATGAAGATAGTCAATGAAAAAATTTATTAGTTAAATGCAATAATGTATATATTTATTTCAATTTTGATGAGGTTCAATCATGTAATTAGTCATATCTCACTAATATTACCTTATAGACGATATTTGTTGCGTATTTTTCTTGTCATCTAACTATATGTGCTTTGACGTGTATTCCACTTAATCTGTTTAGATGTCATATGATCATGTGGAGAACAACTACTTCATTTTACTCGATCCAAATTGACTACAATTTAATTAATTAAATTAATTTACAAATTCATTCATTTTACTCGATCCAAATTGACTACACTTGACTCAAGTTAATTATACTCAATCCAAATTAACTACACCCGCCCCAAATTACATTTACCCACCGATTAAAATAAATACACCCTTTATTCCAACATTTCATTTCCTCTTTCAACCGTACTTCCCCAATATATTCGCTTAAAATCTCAAAAAACACTACCTAAATACACTCATGTATCACCATAAAAAATTATGAGTGTTTTGGTAATTTCTTATGGTGATACATATGTGTATTTAGGTATTGTTTTTCGAGATTGTAGGCGAATATATTGGGGAATAAGGTTGATAAATGAAGTGAAATGTTGGAATGAAGGGTGTATTTGTTTTAATCTGTGGGTAAATATAATTTGGGACGGGTGTAATTAATTAATTTGGATCATGTATAGTTAATAATGAGTGAGTTTGTAAATTAATTTAAGTAACTAAATTGTATATATACAATAGTTAGTCGCCACGTATTTCAAAAAAATATTTAAATGATAATCCGTTATAAAAGTGGTCAATATTGGACCCATAGATGGATGGCAGTGGTATTTGGGAGCCAATAGGTGTATGGCAGGGGTATTTGGGAGCCAATAGGTAGATGGAGGGTAATTTTGTACCATTTCCAATAGTTTGAAGGTATTTTAGGCCCTTTTCCATTTATTTTTTAGAACTATTTTTGTATATTAATTTTTATTTTATAAGTTATAACATAATAGATGACATTCTTTTTGTTGACTGTCATATTTGACTTCTCGATTGTTTGTGTACATAAATAAAAGATAGTTATCTGATTGTCCAAAGTTAACTAAGAAAGGTTTTTTTTTTATCAAAAAAACTATAAAAAAAAATTAAAGAATATATTCTTTCTGTAGAATCATATATATAATCACCTATTTATCTTACACCCAACAGAGATATAGTTCATATATTTGTAAATAATTTTCAATTTATTAAACCAAGCATGATTCGTCCAAAAAATAACAACAACGTGTTATCACATATATAGGGGCGGTGTAATAATATGAAATATTATTGGTCAAAAGTTAATATAAGGAAAGATGAAAAATAAAAATAATTAATATAATAACTATGAGATAACTAAAGAATGTAAAAGAGTGTGAATAACATTTGCAATAATAGTAATAACCAAGAGAATTTATAATGTTACAACTAAAGAATTAATGTGCAATAGATGAATTTCTATTAAATTTTATACTTACATAAATAAATAGGACTTTTAATTAATGTTACTATTTTGTTTATAGTTATTAGATTTTAATTTAGTGTAGGGACAAAATGAAATGTTTATTCCATATTACTGAATATGAAATTTATTTTGTTAATGATACATTTTAAATGATTCATATATATTCACATATTTTCACATTTGTTGCATTTTTTTTTTTTTAAAAGAACACGCATTAATGAAAATATATATCTCATAAAAATTAGTTAGTAAATAAATAATAAAAACTAAACTAATACACACGTCAACTGGCGTTATTAGGAATCATATGAACTTTTCTTTGTCGAAAATACTGAAATATTAAGAAATAGTAAATTAGTAAAACAAAAGGCTAATGTTTACAAAGTAATAGCAATTTTAAAGCAAACTTCCTGAGAATCTAAATCACATAAGTAGCATTGATAAATAAAGTAATTCTTTTGTCTTGAGCATCAAACAAAAAATCGTGATAATTCTCTAACTCTTAAGAAGTTTAATAATTTTTAAAAAAGATATTCAGAAACATATATCTACATCACAAGAGAAATTTTTAACAAAACAAATGAATTTAGACTACAAAAAAATTAAACTAATACAAACTTCCACTGACATTATTACAAGTCATATGAATATTTCTTCGTCGAAAATACTGAAATATTAAGAAATAGTAAATCAGTAAAACAAAAGGGCAATGTTTATATAATAATAACTATTTTGAAGCAAACAATCCTGACAATCTAAATCACATAAGTAGCATTGATAAATAAAGTCATTTTTTTGTCTTGGGCATCAAAAAAGCAAATCGTGACAATTCTCTAACTCTTGAGAAGTTTAATAATTTTGGAAAAAGATATTCAGAACCATATATCTACATCACAAGAGAAATTGTTAACAAAACAAATTAATTTAGACTACAATAAAAATTAAACTAATAGAAACTTCAATTGGCGTTATTACAAGTCATATAAACTTTTCTTTGTCAAAAGTACTTAAATATTAAGAAATAGTAAATCAGTAAAACAAAAGGGCAATGTTTATATAATAATAACTATTTTGAAGCAAACATCCTGACAATCTAAATCACATAAGTAGCATTGATAAATAAATTATAAACCTCGTACTTAACATATTGCGAAAGGATTACACAGCTGCCAGAATTTCCAAAGCACTTAAATACAATATTTGCATATTGGAGCAATGATTTGATTTGTAATTCGTTGTTTCAGAATATCTCATCATTGCAGCAGCATGACATCTCTGCTTCAGATTCCTTGTCACTAAAAGCGCTTATGAGTCAAGGGAAGAATATCCCAAGTTGGTTCCACCATCGGAAATTTGATAAAAACGTGTCAGTCAATTTCCCAGAAAATTGGTATGTACGTGATAACTTCTTGGGATTTGCTGTATGTTACTTTGACAAATTAATTGACATCACAGTTCACTTAATTCCTTTATGTGATGATGGGACCTCGGGTATCTCCCAGAAACTTGCCTTATCCAACCATTCAAAATATAATCCTAAGAATTGCTATTTTTTTTTTGGTACCTCTTGCTGGCTTATGGGATATATGTAAGGCAAATGGGAAAACACCAAATGACCATGGGCTTATTATGTTATGTTTTTCTGGAGAAATGAACAAGTATGGGTTACGTTTGTTGTATAAAGATGATCCTTAGAAACATTGTAATATTCTTGGGAGAGTGGCCAGTCTCTTCTGCAGCATTAACTGATCTCTCTTTTAATAATATTGCAATTACTTAACTCTTCTCATTTATGGTTATGGACCATAGCACTATCTTCGATTCCTTGTTTATGAGTGTACTTGTAGGAATTGCAAGAAACTGTAAAGAGATAGTATTGGAAATTTTCTGTGCATTCATCTCTTCTAAATACATGTATATATACAGCTATGTGGTAATCAAAAGAACGTTATATTCCTAACTGACTGTACATGTGTCCTACTACTATTTGCTAATTCAATAACAAACTTTATTCTCTAACAATGTCTGGAAAAGAAGGATAAAATAGACAATCTAGCTGAAATTACTTCTAGGTATCCAATATGTACACAGGCTAGAAATTTTATCAAGTTGGGCTTATATTCAAATTGGTATTTCGAGGCCCAGTCTAAGGAAGCCCAAATGTCTTGCCACCACTCATGTGCTTTGAGACATTTTGACAAATCCTAGGGTTCTTCTTCTTTACTTGTTTGTCCTCATTCTCTTTGCTACATTTCTCCATTGAAGAAGTTAGAGCTGAAGAAGAAGGCGGAGCTGAAATCTCAACATCCCCTCTCAAGTTGGAGGGGAACAAAGTGAGCCCCAACGTGCGCATGTTGTTATGATGTGATGGTCCAACGAGTGGCTTGGTGAATATGTCGGCCAACTGATCCTTGGACGGAACAAAGGACAGAGAAATCAATCCGGCAAAATACTGCTGGTGGACGAAATGACAGTCCAGCTCAACGTGTTTCATCCGTTCATGAAACACAGGGTTGCGAGCTATATGTATAGCGGCTTGACTATCCGAGTGAATGGGCACCAGCAGGGGAGGAGGAATCGACAGGTCGGTGAGTAATCTGGTAAGCCAAGTTAGTTCAGCAACTAACCTTCTCATTGAACGGTATTCCGCCTTTGCGGAGGAGAGGGAGACTGGACTTTGTTTGTTTGATTTACAGGAGATTGGAGATCCTTCCCAAAATGATAAAGAAGCCACTTACTGATCGGCGAGAATGACGACAAGATGCCCAATAAGTATCACAAAAAGTGGCCAATGACAAAGAATGTGATGCACTAAAGAAGAGAGGCCATGGCTTGGGATTTCTTCAGGTAACGAATCACTCTTGGACCAGCATTGTAATGATCATTAGTAGGCATATGCATAAACTGACTAAGTGTTAACATAACAAATGATAGATCTGGTCTAGTGTGAGTCAAATAGTTGATCTTTCCAATAAGATGTCTATAAATGGTGGGATTTGACAAAGGTGTTCCTGAATCTGCAGATAGCTTAACTGAAGGATCCATTGGAGAAGATACTGAAGATATATGGGAAACATCAAATTCATCAAGTAACTCCAAGGTATATTTCCTCTGACTGATAAGCATGCCTGTTCTTCTCTTACTACTCCCATACCCAAAAAATAATGTAGGAGACCTAGGTCTTTAATGCCCCTGCTAATCTAGCATACCACTGCCTTGACGCTTGCTTTAGCCCATAAAGAGATTTTCTCAACTTACACACCATGTTAGGTTAAGGGGGATCCACACCATTAGGAAATTTCATGTAGACTTTCTCTTGCAATTCTCCTTGCAAGAAAACATTGTTGACATCAAACTGAAAAATATCCCACCCTTTCTTAGTGGCAATTGCTAATAAGCATCTGATTGTGGTCATTTATACCACTGTTTAAAATGTCTCATTATAATCAATCCCCTCTTTCTGTATGTCCCCTCTCACAACAAGCCTGGCCTTCAATCTTTCAATTGTCCCATCAGCATGTTGCTTAACCTTGTAAACCCATTTGCAGGGTAACGTTTTCCTTCCTTTAGGTAGATTAACAACATCCCAAATATGATTAGATTGTAGGGCTTCAATTTCATCTTGGATTGCTTGCTGCCAACCTGCATGTGTAGAAGCCTCATAAAAGCTTCTAGGTTCTGATATAGTGGAGGTAGACCTTAGGACCAGTTGACTAGGTTTAAAAAGATTAGCATAAGAAAAACTAGAAGGATTGCTAGGAACAGCAAGATAAGATTCTGTAACATCACTAAGATAAATGGTGTTGCAAATATAATCCTTCAGATATGAAGGCAAAGTTCCAATATTTGTTCTATGAGATATCCTAACAGGAACTTATGATGGTGATGCAACATGTTCAGAAGGAACAGTTGGTTGTACTGGTGGAATTTCTAAACCTAGGGAATTGATAGGAACATTTGATGAGGGAAAAGAATTAGGACCTGTAGTGATGGTGGAATCCTCAGAATCTGAAGGATCATATGGTGGAGTAGAACAATAGTCAATGGGATCATGAGTGATGAAGATAGAATTATCAGGACCATCTCTAGAAACACTGACCTTCCTAGTTTCCAAATCAAGTAACTTGTACCCTTTCTGGTTACTTGGGTATCCAAGGAAAACACATTTATGAGCTCTTGGCTCAAACTTGTTCCTTCCCTGAGCTGATGTACTAGCATAGCATAGACAGCCAAAACATCCGAGAAACTGATAAGAGGGTGGTGTACCAAACAAAACTTCATAAGGAGTTTTTCCATGAATAACTCTTGATGGCAATCTATTGATCAAGAAAGTAGTTATTAGGATACATTCACCCCAATAGATTAGTGGGACCTTTGACTGAAACAATAGAGCTCTTGCATTCTCTAGTAGATGACTGTGTTTTCTTTCAGCTACCTCATTTTGTTGTGGGGTAGCCACACAGGAAGTCTGATGGATAATTCCTTGTGATCTCAGAAATTCTGAGGCTGCTTCACTTTTCCCTAATTCCATGGCATTGTCAGATCTAATTATTTTCACCTTAGCATTGAATTGTCTCTCAACCATAGACAAAAACTTTGAATCACAGAAAAAGAATTGCATTTGGTGCTCATTAGATATGTCCATGTAGCTCTACTGAAGTCATCCACTATTGTCAAAAAATACCTATAATTGTTATAGGTAGACACCTTGTATGGTCCTCAAGTGTCAATGTGAATTAGATCAAAACAGTTCTTAGTGGTGATCTCACTAGTAGAAAAGGGCAATCTAGACTGTCTAGCTTTGGGACACACAATAAAAATCAGAAAGCTGAGGTATAGACAAGAAACTGACATTTTTCATTGATGCATAGGGCAAATGCCCTAATCTTACATGCCATAACCTTACATTGGAAGAAACATTTGAACAAACAGGAAAGGAAACTAAAACTGAATCAGGAAAACAAGCAGAACTACTGATTCTACTACATTTTTGAGACACCAGAAAAGTATTTTGACTTGCACTAGGCTTCTTAGGAAAGAGTTGCAACAAGTAGATTGTAACATCGTGTGAATTGAAATAACTGTGAAGAAGCTGGAAATTTGAAATAGTCATTTTTGGAAAGAATTCAAAATCTGGAAATTTGGTTAAGTATGGGAAAAAAATGAGTTTTGGTCAACTTTGAGCAGTCATAATTCCTAGCTCAAGATGAGTTAGGTGAATTTCTAGTTATGTTTGGAAAGCTCTTGAAATGATCTTTCCAATGCCGCCGAGTTTGCTCGATTCCGAGTTCGTATGAGTGAGTTAGGCCCTTTGGTATTTCATATCTCTATGTTGAAGAAGTGCATAGGCGATCCTTCATTGATCCTACCAACTGAAAGTATTAGGATCAAGGATAGCTTATCTTATGAGGAGATTCCTATTCAGATTTTAGATCGCCAAGTTCGTAGGTTGAGAACGAAAGATGTAGCATCAGTCAAGGTCCTTTGGAGGAACCAATTTGTTGAGGAAGCTACTTGGGAAGCCGAAGAGGACATGAAGAATAGATATCCATATCTCTTTGAATCCGGAGGAAATGCAGATCAAGGTTACTAATTTCCTTCTTAGTGTCTCTTTAAATTATAGTGAGCTATGTTTGTTGTTTGTTTGTTGTTGTTGTTGTTTGCATGATTGCTTGTTGGGCGTTTGAGTTGATGTTACACCCTTAGCCTAGTAAGAGTAATCTCATTCGAGGACGAATGTTCCCAAGGGGGAGATATTGTAACATCGTGTGAGTTAAAATAACTGTGAAGAAGCTGGAAATTTGAAATAGTCATTTTTGGAAAGAATTCAAAATCTGGAAATTTGGTTAAGTATGGGAAAAAATGAGTTTTTGGTCAACTTTGAGCAGTCATAATTCCTAGCTCAAGATGAGTTAGGTGAATTTCCAGTTATGTTTGGAAAGATCTTGAAATGATCTTTCTAACGCCGCCGAGTTTGCTCGATTCCGAGTTCGTATGAGTGAGTTAGGCCCTTTGGAAGTTGGGCTGTTGGCAGGGGAGTTTAGTCCGAATTAATAAGGGTATTTTGGTCTTTTCCCTAACCATTTCTTTTGGTTATATTAAGGGTCTAAACTGATTTTAATTCAGTTTTTCCCTTTTAAAAGTTAGAGTTAGGGTTGTGAGTGAAGAGAGAAAGAAGAGGAGAAAGTGAAGAAGAAGCAAAGTTCGTCAAGATCGTCATGGATTTCATCGGGGGTGATCCCTATTAAGTTATGTGAGATCATAGTGTTGGGTTGGTTCATTCCCCCAGACGCCAAACTCGTTTTAATTCCGAGAAAATGTTAGTTGTGTTGTTTGAAGTTTTGTGGTTGTGTTTGTTGAAGTTGTGGTTTTGTTGTTGAAGTTTCTTGTTGGTTTGGTGCATATTTCGGGTTGTGATTTCGAGTTGAATCTATTCGATACTAAGGGGTTTTATGATTCTAAGTGTTTGGGGCCTGAACCTTTGAAGTTAAGAAGGTTTAGAGTTGGAAAAACAAAGGAGAAAGGTAGGATTTTCGGGGAAAAAGGTTGGGGCGTCGCGCCAGCCAGCGCCCCCCAAAAGGGGTTCTGAGCTTCCACCCTTGGGGCGGCGCGCCTTGCAATGCGCCCAGCAGGCCCCTCTGGAGTCTGAAGGCTGGCGCCCCGCGCCTCTCAGAGCGCCAAGGACACCAATCCTTCCCATTCTTTCCCATTTTGTCATACATGTTCCTTGGTAATTTACCTATGTTTTATAGTTGTTTTCAACACTCAAAGGTACATCTAGACATCCCGAACTCATCCATAAACATGAGATCATTACCCTTGAATCC